AAAAAAAAAAAAAAAAAAAGAATGCCATTATATAAATTTCAGAACACCAGGATAAAGAGTAGATTCTAAAGACTTCCAAAGAGGAAAAGCAGCTTACACACAAAGGATTGGGAGTGAGACCAGCAATTAACTTCATCACTGCCACACAGGAAACTAGAAGACAAAAGAAGCAATACCTTCAAATAGCTGGTGGAAAATTCTTTCTGACCTAGAATTTTACACTCAGCCAGATTAGAAACCAAGTGAGGGGATAGAATAAAGCCATTTCCAGACATGCAGGGTCACAAAAAATTTAGTATCCATTTATTCATTTTGAGGTAGCTATGAGAAGATGTGTTCCCTCAAAACTAGAAAGTAAACTGAGAAAAAGGTAGGTACAGAATTTAGGAAAAGAGATTGAATACAGAAAAGAAGTGAAGGAAATGTGACTCTAGTATACTATTTCGTTCAGACAGGAACAATTTTTATAAAGCTGGAACAATGAAAACAATATTGGGAAGATGTAAAAAGGAAAATTGTGAGTGGGTGGCAGCATGAGAGAACTGAATCTTAGTTGTCCATGTTAGAAAGGCAATAGATTATGTCTCCAAACAAAAACAAATGTAATATAAAAGTGTTGAATAAAAGAGATGAAAGTCATTGTCTCTGCCTATCCAAGAATTAGGATAGGCAGAAGGCTGGGCAAAGCATTGCTATGTTACATGATAAGACTCTACATTGATAAAAATAAAAACTAAATTTAAGAACACATTCAATATTAAGCAGTCTAAAATTCCAATAAGCCAAATATTTTCACTTTTCTATTATCTCTTTTATAGCTTATATCTACAAAGTTTTACATATTTGTAGTAGCTCAATTTGTTATAATTTTCACTACATCATTTTTTGTAATTACATTTAAGATACTTTTAGTAATATCCTATTAAGTGGTAAACCATAATTTTATAACATTCCTCTATTTTTTCTTATTAAAAAAATTTTTTTTAGGAAAAGGATCTCCCTTCACCCAGGGTAGAAGACCGTGGTACAATCAAAGCTCACTGTAACCTTGAACACCTGGGCTCAAGTGATCCTCCTGCTTCAGCCCGCTCCCCC